GCGGGGCCCCCCACTGTCCCCCCGGGGGGCCCCGCACGGCTGGCGCGGTGTCCGCACGCCGCAGGACAGGGTCCCCAGTGCTCCCAGTGTCCCCATCACAGGGTCACGCCGGTCCCAGTGCGGAGCAGCCGTCCTGCGTCCCCAGTGTCCCCAGAAAGGTCCCCACGGTCCTAGGACAGGGTGCCCAACGCCTCCAGTGTGGGGTCCCCAATGTCCCCAGTGTCCCCCGCACATGGTCACCATGGATCCCCACCACAGGGTCCCCAGTGTCCCCATCACAGGGTCACCATGTGGAGCAGCCGTGATGGGTCCCCAGAGTCCCCAGAAAGTTCCCCACGGCCCTAGGACAGGGTGCCCAACGCCTCCAGTATGGGGTCCCCAGTGTCCCCAGCACAGGGTCCCCACGGTCTCAGCACAGTGTCCCCAGTGTCCCTGGCACAGCGTCCCCAGCACAGGGTCACCATGGTCCCAGTGCAGAGCAGCCGTGATGGGTCCCCAGTGTCCCCAGAAAAGTCCCCATGGTCCTAGGACAGAGTCCCCAGCATGGGGTCCCCGGTGTCCCCAGCCCAGGGTCCCCATGGATCCCCATCACAAGGTCCTCAATGTCCCCATCACAGGGTCCCCAGTGTCCCCTGCCCGTGGTCACCATGGACCCCATCACAGGGTCCCCAATGTCCCCAGGTCAGGGTCCCCATGGCCCAGGCACAGGGTGGCCATCTTGGTTGGACACAGCTGGCACGGTGTCCCCACGGTCCCAGCACGGGGTCCCCAATGTCCCCATCACAGGGTCCCCGGTGTCCCCAACATCTCCAGCCCGGTGTCCTCATAGCCTCAGCACAGTGTCCCCAGCTCGGGGTCCCCAACATCTCCAGCCTGGTGTCCCCATGGCCCCAGTGCAGAGCATCCACGTTGGGTGTCCCCGGGGGGGTCCGTTAGAGGCTGAGGACGCTCCAGCCCCACCCCAGCGGCCCCGCCGGGCCCCACCAGCGCCCCGGGGCGGTTGGGGGGTGGTGTGACGCGCGGGGAGGGCCGCGGCGTCTTTAAGAGCGGTGAGACGAGACGCGGCGCCTTTAAGAGCGGCGGGGCGGGGCGCGGTCCCTTTAAGGCGGCGGTCA